CCCCCTCCCCCTAGATTTCAGTTCACCAGACCTGCACTGATGTTGACTCACAACAGTACAAGTCAAGCCAATTTACAGTATCCACCTGTTTCATTGTGATCTGCACATGAAGCAAAACTCCACCTAAGAAATGAGCATAGGATTGACTAATTTGAGCAAAAGGGCACACAAAAAGCTCAGATTGCTCAGACTGCACCACTTGTGCAATGGCCATTGACTTTTCAGATGGTGATTCATGCCAAGTATGCAGAAATGCTGTAATGTGCCTGCATTGCATATATTTGCATAAATGGCATAAGTAGAGTGATTTGCATGGCTCTCCTTAGCATTAAAATAATGCTGAAACCATGGCTCACCTTGGGGACAGAAGACCACGGGGGGGGGGGGGGGGGGGGGGGGATGGCATGGCCAGCTGCTGATTGGAAGGGGGAACTAAGTTGGTCAAGCTCAAATAGGCAGGGCTTCCCAGCCTCAGCATCCGTTCTAGCTGCATCTCCTCCTCCTCCTCCTCCTCTGTGGGAAAGTATGCTGCTTTCCTCAAAGATGTGCCCAAAGTGGCTCGCAACATTGCATAGGAATAACAGTAAATACAAAGTACTAGAGATTAAAGAGCTATAAATAAAGCCATATTCAAAAATAACTACCATAATGTTGGCAGATACACCAATGCATGCAGTATCCAGTAAAGCAGGACAGATACGCTAACACTCATCTAACATTGACATATTTATTATGTATTTATCTGGCAAGATGGTGGTGATTTGTAATAGTTTCCATTGTTATTTTTTGAATCTTGTTGTATCTATTGGCATGTGTTCATGCAACAGCAAAGCATGGCTTGGGGGATTTAGTTGTGGCAGTGCGTGAAGTGTGTGCCCAGGTTATTGTTGATGGCCCATTTTGTTTTCGTTTCTGTTCCATTTTGAGACCTTCCCACTCACTACCCTTATCCCCCAATTCCAGACCCTGGCCTCAGTGTAGGGGAGCACTAACTGTAAATCAATCAATCAATCAATCAATCAATCAATTGGAAATGCATCCTCCACAAGAGAGGACATTGGCATACATAACATTTACACATGCTCATCGATATGTATAGATACAGATCTAATGGATTTAATAGATACAGATCTAATGGAGAGGCAGTGTGGTGTAGTGGTTAAGAGCATGGGACTGGGGCTCAGACAATCTGGGTTCGAGTCCCCGCTCGGCCATGGAGCCAACTGGGTGACCCTGGGCCAGTCACAGACTCTCAGCCCAACCCTCCTCACAGGGTTGTTGTTGTGGGGATAAGATGGAGGAGGAGAATGATGTAAGCTGCCTTGAGCCCTTTGTAGGAAAAAGGCAGGATATAAATCAAAATAAATAAAAATAAAATAAAATAAAATAAAATTTAAATAGTGATAAAGTGCATCCCCCATAGTGGAGAAGGCAGTACCAGATAACCTGAGCTTATCTTAAGCTCATTTATCTCCAAACTGGACTTCTGCTAAACAGCTCTTCAAATAGAGGACTATCCACTGTTGACCCTTCCAAGAGAGGACTGCCCTGTGTACAGTAGGGCACATGACTGCCCTAGCCTTTTCCCATGCCAGGGTCAATTTGGAGGGTCAATTTGCTATATTGTGTAGCAGGTCCAGTGTGACCTCAGCAGCTCCAGGTTTAGATCTCTTTTCAATCATAAGCTCAGATTCAAATGATATCTGATGCAAGGGATTCGTGATTGAATTCCCACACTTAACCACCCAGCTTCTCAAAGAGCAGCTGTAGGGGTTTCATATTTATGTTTGTTAATATTAATGAAAAGCTTTGGATGATGCTGATGAGGGTGACTGCTTGTCCTTTGCTGGTCTGCAGTTCAAAGTATTTCTGTCCTAAGCTGTGATGGTGCTTGTTTGGTGTTTTATACTCAAAGGAGGTTGTGCTTTCTCCGAAGAGCAAAAAGCTCACCCACAAGTGCACACACACATCCCATGAAGAATTGAAGCCTGGGTGTTAAAAAAGGCCGAGTTCAAAGCTGTGACTGAGGGATCTGATGCAAGCTTTGGAAAGAAAGTGACCCCAAAAGTTTGATTGGAGGCAATAGCAGAATTTTTTTTAGCTCCATCTTGTTTAAATTGCCTCCAGGACTTTGGGAGACCTTTTAAAACCAGCTAGTTAGAAAACACATGTCTTTTGAGATGAGGATGCGTGGAAAGAGAAGGAATGGGTGGCTGGTTGGAGGAAAGAGAGATTGTTGTAGAGAGAGACATTTGAAAAGAACCAAAAGAAATCCAGGAAACTCTCTCCTTCTTCTCCAGCAATTCAAAGGCTAATAGCTTGGAACCAGTACTTCCTGTTCTTTAAAAAGCCTAACCAGACACGCCAATTACAGAGGCATTTATTTTAAGAATTTGGTTCTGTCTTAATGGCAATTCATCCTTGGCCCCCTGAAAGGGCCCTGTGAGAAGTGGAGATCTTGGTTTTTTATGATAAATAATTGGACTGCTTACTTACTAGAAAAACGATGCAGGCAAGAGGATTTTAAAGCAAGCTCTGCATGACAGGCAAAGATGGATGAGAACCAAGCCACAAGTGGGTTGACTTTTGCTCTTGAATGTGGCTGCTTGCCAGCTGTCCTCCTTTGCCAGATGTGGCCCTTCCATTCTGGTGAGCTACCTCGGGCTGCTTCCGTAGCCCATGTGGCCTGGAATCCGGCTAGCACAGTTGCACATGTGGCTGTTCCCCTGGTGCTCGGTGCACAGGTGCTGGTGGGGCAGGTCATGTGAAGACAGAGGTGAACCACTGGCGTGGCCCCGCTTCTGCCCTGTACGTTGCATGCACGGTAAGCTGAGCTCCCAGAAAGGGACCGGGGGCTGCCTGCACTGGAGCCCTTCCCCAGGCTCTCCGGAGACCCAGCTGCCTCTCGAGTGGGGAAGAGATGCACCTGTACGGAGGCAAATGAGCAAGCAGGAGCGCCAAGGCTTGTGCTGCCATTTTGCACAGAGCAGCTGCATCTTGACACTGAGAAGAGATTGGGGGACAGCCATGGCTGGATGCAACTTCAGCCCCCCAAATAGCCTCCCCTGTGTGGCTTTTAAATCAGTGGTAGATTATCTGAAGCGGTGTAGATGAATGTCTGTGGATGTTCGGAAGATTGCTGGTGGTTGGCGTGAATGCAGATCCATGGTATCTGGCACACTTTTTGCAGGGACTTGGGTATAGTTTTGAAAACTCTGTGGAGCAGAGTCAACACCAGGGCACTTGACCTGTGTGAAGGATGGTGACTCCCATATCAAAGAGGCTCCTCACTCATGGCAGCTCTTTTTGAGCATGATAGCAGTTGCGCATGGTGCTAAACCCATGGGGTCATCACTTTGCACAGCTCCTACAGCGCTCCAAAGAAAAACTTCTGTCCCCTGCCTGTGCGTGTCCATGTTATGGAAAGCAATGCCATCCATGCTGGACCCAGATTCTGAGTCCCTGGGGCAAGTGGCTCTCCATGGTCCTCCCCACTCTCTCAGTGCCACTATCACCCGTTGTTCTCACTCCCCAGTCTCTCTCTCAGGCTGTTCCACTGGCTGGCTTGCCCATGGAGAACCCTGAATCTGGGTTGTCACAACTCGAATTGATTATTCCATGTCCTACACTCTGACATCAGCAAGAAGAGCTCTTGGGCCCTTGGCTGGTGCCTGTCTGTGTCAAATAAGAACCTGTGATGCTGGCCCTGAATGCCACAAGGTGTTCACCTCTCTTGGCCAACCATTGCTGTCCTGTCACCCTTATCTGTAAAATGGGTATAAGCATCATAATAGGGAACGCAGTTGGAGCTGCGCAGGTGAAAAATGATTGCCCCCAGCTGTGATTTAGACGAGCTCTTTTTATGCTCCTGAGGGGATGTTGGGGAGGCGGATGCAAAATGGCTGCCACCAGGCACCGGTACAGCAGCCGTGGGTGGTGGCCCTCAGTCCCCTGACCCAGGTGGCAATCCTTTGAGGGATAGCAGTGATGCGGGGGGGGGGGGGGTCTCTCTTTTTAAAGTGTCCTGTGTCGCAGTAGGAATTAACACAAGCACTGACACTGAATGAGCCGGCCTTGCCGTGGAGAGCCACTGGCCTTAAAACACTGTTCAGCTGAAGCTGAAGTGCTGCTTTACCTCAGCGCGGCGTTGTTGTGATCATTCTCGGCATGTTTATGCGATGTCGGGTCTGTGCTGCACGCCGCACGCTGCACGCCCTGTGAAACAAATGTTTCATTTCTGACCCTCAGCCCCGGAGAGTGGTTGACAATGAGGTTTACTTAACCCTGGAGATAGGAGCCTTTAAAGAACAGTGAATTTCTGATCTTTTAAAAAACAAATTTCCATGTCCATTCATAACATTGGAATGGCAGGGAAAGAGCAGCTGTGGATGGAAATGGTTTTCAAAGGGGCCCTCGGGCTGCCCAGTTATTCTCTTCAGCTTGTTGATGCAAAGGCACTTGCTGGGTTGCTCAGCAAGTGACAGTGTTGCTCCATGAAGAGGGAGCTGGCACAGCCGACTTTGGGGTGGTTGTTAAGGGGGAACCAGGAGTCAAGGCAGGAGTAGGAGCCCAGAGTCAAGGCGAGATCCGCTCCGGGGATCAAGGCTGGATTTGGAGTGGACAGACTGGGTCACAAGACTAGCCAAGGCCGGGAGCCATCCCACGTTGCACAGACTGTTGTTTGGCCAGCAAAATCCCAAGCCAAGCAGGAAATCCGTTTTGCCTTTGACCTGGCTGAGGGGAGTCCCTCCAGTTTCTGGGATCTGTTTACTCCCTAGGAAGAAGCTCCATTCCGTAGCTCCCTCGGTTGGTCCCAGCTGTGCACAGAGCCTTGGGTGGCTGGTTCCAGCCCCAGCAGCTCCTGAAGGACGTTGCAACAAATGCTAGAAACGGCGCACACATTTGTTTGCTTAGTTATAAATGAAGTTGCTCTGGGTTGCCAGTGTTTGTCCCAGCAGCTCCTGAGAGATGTTGAAACCCACGTTGGGAACAAAACAGAGAAGAGCAGCAAAGAGAACTGTGTGGTCTGGTGGGGACCACATGCTGGTGGTGGATAGGGCTGAAGCCAGTGCGACGGGGACAGAGCCAAGAGAGGGGGACTGCTTCTCCCCACCCCTTCTCTTTGTGCCACCCCATCTCCCTCCTGCCACCCTCCTCCCCATTCCTTTTCTCCTCTCTTTTTGCCACCCCCCGCAATCTTTCTGCTCCCACTGCTCACTTTCTCTGCAACCCCTCGTGCCCTGCTCTTGTTCTCTTCCTGTTATCTCTCCCAGCTATTCCTTCTGCCTCCATTTTTTCCTCTCCTTCTCTTTCTGCTACCTTCCCCCTCTCTCTCTCTCTCTGCAGCTGCCACCCCTCCTCTCTCCCCTGTGGCTCAGTTACTGACAAGGATCTGGGTTTTTTCATGCAAACAGGCTGGTTGGGGCAGGCCAGGGCGTGTGGCTGCACAGGGCATCTTTCTGTGTGCTGCCTGCTGGCTTTTGCAGCAAGCCGGTTGCAGTCTCGGAGCCAGTGCGTCCAGGTCCCTGTGCCGAGATGATGGCCTGCGCGTGGAGCTGGGTGAGCTGAGGAAGCAAGACTAGCCAGTTCTATTGGGGAATGCCAGGCAAAGCAGAACATAGAAACACAGAGCGAGTCAGAAGGGGCCTCCTGGGCCATCTAGTCCGACCTCCGGCACCAGCCAGCTCCACTCACGACATGCCCACCATGTGGACGTCCAGCCTATCCTTGAACACCCGCACCGATGGGGCCTCAACAACCTCTGCTGGAAGCCCATTCCACACCCTCAGGGTCCTGACAGTCAGGAAGTGCTTCCTGGCATCCAAATGGAACCTTGGCTCCCTGAGCTTTGCTCCATTGGAGCGTGTCCTGCCTTCCTCTGCAGGGGAGAACAGGTCTCTACCCATCTCCATGTGACATCCCCTCACATGCCTGTATGTCGGCAACATATCGCCTCAGAGTCTCCTCTTCTCCAGGCTGAAGAGACCCAGTTCCCTCAGTCTCGCTTCATACCCCATCCCCTGCAAACCGGCCACCAACCTTGTGGCCCTAAGCTGCACTGACTCCAACCTGGCTATATCCTTTCTGTAATGAGGGGCCCAAAACTGAACACAATACTCCAGTTGCGGGCACACCAGAGTTGTATGGAGTGGTAGTAATACCTCTCTTGATCTAGAAGCCACACTTCTGGCTATGCAACCAAGGGTGGCGTTCACCCTCTTGACCACCGCATCACACTGCTGACTCATGTTTAGCCTGCAGTCAACCAGCACTCCGAGGTCCCTTTCACAAGTGCTGCTCTCCAGCCACTTGTCACCTAACCTGTACTTATGACAGCTATTCCTATGCCCCAAGTGCAAGACCTTGCACTTATCCACATTGAACGCCATCCTGTTGCCTCCTGCCCACTTCCATAGTCTGTCCAGATCCTTTTGGATCTGGAGTACCTGCTCCTCAGTTGTGACCACTGCTCCAGTTTTAGTGTCGTCTGCAAATTTGATCAGCAGACTGTTCACCCGTTCTTCCATGTCATTAATGAAAAGAATAAACAGGATCGGCCCCAGGACAGTGCCCTGGGGGACCCCGCTTGTCACTGGCCACCATCCCGATGATTCCCCGCTAATGGTTACCTTCTGCTTTCGGTCAGCCAACCATGCCCTAATCCACCGGACAGTGCTTTGGTGTATCCCAAAACTCCTCAGTTTCTCCACCAGGATATCATGGGGCACTTTGTCAAAGGCCTTGCTGAAATCCAGCAAGTATGTCCATACAGGGCTACCCCTTTGATGAGAGCAACACTTATCCTCTCCCCAGCACTCTTACAGATTCCTGATATCCCCCGACAAATAGCTCGTATTATTAGCCACTTTGGAGAAGCATAATTATGTCTTCATTCTGAGCTGCAGCTCTGAGGATCTCGGTTTCTAATCCAAACTCCTCTTTAAAAAACCAAGTCACAGCTTCTCTTGCCTTTTCCTATCTGTCTCCAGATAAATATGGTCCAAAAAAAAGAGAGGAAAAACGAACTCCTCTACCACTCAGTCCAGTATTTATTTGGGAAAGAGGCAGGAATTCAGAATGGATTAGTAAATATGCTTGTACTGTAATATATAATCTGTTGTGATACTTTTTCTCATTACGGTACAGTGAGTGATGCGAAGGGATCAAGGTCCTTTTGCCTCGGATAGTGCTCTCTCTCTCTCCCCGCACTTTTTGATGTGCTGCTTTTTTATTTTATTGGGAGAAAATGGAAGCTCAACTGAGTTCTCTCACTCTCCTTAATAATCTCCATCAGAATCCGATGCCCTTTATGTAAGCTGTGCCAATAATTAGAGGGTTGCCGGAGTTAAGCAGGCACGGAGGCGACGCTGACTCTGAGAAACATTCATTGTGGCTCATTAAATTTGGAATTAGGACTTAAAAGGTCAGGAATAAGTATGCTGTTTATATTTCTGGACAGTCAATCTAAATGGACATTGCGTTGCACAGCCTCTCCGCCTCTCCACTGCTCTCGTAGCACCACTCTGCTTCAGCTGAACAGCCGTCATGATGTCTGATAAAAATAAAAAGGGATATGGCTGCATTGATCAAAGGCAAGGAGATGATCTCCTATGTTCTCTGTAATTACGGGAGAGAGAGAGAGACCGAGAGAGAGAGACAGAGACAGAGAGAGAGAGAGAGAGAGAGAGAGAGAGAGAGACCGCATGCCCTCATGGGTGGGTGCTGGCACCTGTGATGGCTACGGCTTCAGTGTGCGATCTCCAGTATGACTGGGGATGGCAATAGGTGGAGAAATAGGGAAGTTGCTTCCAGGGGAGGTGGGAGGGATCAGGGCCCTGGACTCTGCCAGGGTGGCTGGCACTTCTGTGCTACTCAGTGATAGAAGCTTGGTGGAACTGCCTCCTTTTGTCCCTTTTGGCGATGCCGAGCTGAAGCAGCGGTCTTGCCTACACCTGGTGAGGATGGATGAACAAGAGCAGATGCCGGGGCGGGGGGGGGGGGGTGTTCCACGTGTGGGGGTGTCCCCATGGTTTCAGGAACATGATGCGTGGTTGAGCCAGTGAGATGTCTAGGAGGGCAGCCAGTGCAGTGTAGAGATTTGAGTACTGGACTGGGACTTGGGAGACCCGCTTGGCCATGAAGCTCACTGGGGGAATCCTCTTCCTCCTCTTTCATCCTCACAACAACCCTGTGAGGTAGGCCAGCTTGAGAGTCAGTAATTGGCCCAAAGTCGCCCTGTGGATGATGCAGCCGAAGCCCTGATCTCCCAAGGCCAGCACTGCCGCACTGGTTCTCCCAGAAATTTTTCCATTCTGTAGGGGGCTCTCATTTAACAAGTTCGGCAGCAAAGCTGGGGTGTTGAACCTTAAGCCTGCGTGAAAGTACCCAAGGGTCTTACAATAAGCAAATAAATTCTCACCTTCCAGGGAACTCCAGTGGTTCCCTTCTGCTTCTGTGTTTTATCCTCACAACAATCCTGTAAGGTAGGTTATGCTAAGGATGGGCCATTGGTCCAGAGTTTCCCAGTGAGCATCATGGCTGAGAGGGGCTTGAATGCAGGTTTCCAAAAACCCAGCCAGGTGGTCTAACCATTACACCACAGTGACTTTCTTGCAGGCTTTTCAAGACGCTTTCATAGTGGGATAAGTTAGCTGGAGCTGGACTTGATGTGTAGGTGCAGAACCACAGTCCGGGATGTGTGTGTGTGTGGGAAATCTGGGGCTTACAGTGTCCCATGCTAGATTTTTGGGGTTCCCCAGATGGCCTTGTCCTTCTCCCCTGGTCATCAGTGGTTTCCTGGCTTTTCTGTGACCCCGCTTCTAAAAACTGGGAAAAGCCTTTGGAGGCAGCCTCATAGGCTTGTCCTGCAAGCTTAGGGAACAATAGTAGTCTTAGACTAGCAAAGTAGGGCTGGCTGTGAGACAAAACTTCCAGGAAGGTTGTGCTCAGAAAAGGCTGCTGCTTACTAGCCTGCCAGTGGCACTAACCTTGTGTGGGGTCTACTGGGACGTTGGGATGTGAGAGACCAGGAAACCGAACTCCCAGCGACACCTTTGCTCCCCCTGCAAATTCTGAAATTCGGGGCAGGAAAAACTCATGAGAAGGCCGTCGGCGGCAGTGCCTGCTGCCTTCGATGCCTGTGGGAAATCGTCTCTGGTCCTGCTGCCACAGCGTCCATTGCGTAATGGGGTAGAGGTCCCCGGTGAGTTCTTGGCGGTGGTAAATCACAACCGTGAGTGGCACTAATTGGATCCCTTGTTGGCAGCCTCGACAGAGAGGCCGGGTCCAAAATGGTCGCGGCAGGTGAAATGTCCTTTCTCTTGCCCTGGTCAAGGTTGGAGCTGGTTGGGAGAGCTTGCAGCATTTCTGTTTGGGGATAATTAGAAGTAGGAGTGACAACCTGGCACAAAGAGAAGGGGTAGTTGGTGCGAGCTTTGTGGGATTCTGCCTTCAGTGGCTGAACGAGCGTGCTGTAGAAATGCGCTGCTCTGCCACAGTTGGTGGGCTAAAATAGCACTTCAGGGGAAAACGTGGGTAAAAAAGAGAGTAGGTTGATTTGGCCCATGAAGGGAGGCAGCAAGCTGCTTACTGTCTCTGCAATTTCCATACACACCATTGAGTTCATGGGCAGGGTACCCAGTTTCAGCCCACACTTCCCAGAATCCCAGACCACTGGACTCGGAGTTGGAATCCAAAACCTCTGGCTGGCATCCTGACAATGACGCAGTGCTATGGCCAGTGTCGTTGTGGTGGTTGGAGTGTTAGCCTAAAAGGTGGCAGTTCAAAACTCCATCAATACCACGGGGTTGCTGTGATGATGAAATGGGATGAAGGGAGTGAGGCTTCCTTTCTGGAGCTTTCTGGAGGAAGGCGGAACGGTGAGATGCAAATATAACAACAACAAGGAGATGCCATTTATTTATCTATTTATCTATTTATTTTATTCATTACCTTTATTCCCCTCCTTTCCCCCCTGTGAGGCAGCTTACATTGATTTTCAGCTCCTTTTATATCCTTACAGCAACCGTGTGAGATAAGCTAGGCCAAACGTCAGTGACTGGTCTGAAGTTGCCCAAGGATCTTTTGACGAAGCAGGGGTGT